CCCCCCCCCTCTTTCTCTCTCTCTTTTTTTTCCTAACTTGAAGATTTATTTTTGTAACTTTTTGAAACAGAAAACAACACACTCTTGGGGGAAGGTGAGGGTAGAGGAGCAGGCCCTGGGGAGTGAGGACAACAGCACTGGAGTCCGAGAGGCCTGCCTAGGAGAGCCACACGCACTGCCACACAGCACAGGGGACAGCTACTGTCTGAGGCTCCGCAGACCAGTTCCCACGCCACGCAAAGCTGCTATAGATCCAAGTCATAAAAATCCTCCAGCTCATCGTGAAACAAGTCCCACTCGTCCTCAGAGTCTGTCAGCTCGTCGTCCACACCTGCAGCCAAAAGCATAAGCAACATCTCGCCCAGCTCAGAGGTGACAACCTCCTCTTCGTCGTTGTCATAGGGGTTGTTCTCTCTCTCCTCAATGAGCTCCCAGAAGTGGCTCCTTCGTTGGGCCCGGTATCTGCTTGATGTTCCCACTTTCTGTCCCTGTGGCTCCTTTCTACGGCCATCAGGGTACGCATGCTTGTAAAAACAGTTCCCTCCAAAGGGGCAGCTCCCACATCCTTCATCAAAATACCTGCACACCTTGTTGCTCATGGCCTCCTTGTATTTCTGAGTGAGTTTCTGCTTCTCTTCTTTCTCTTCCACCCAGTACTCACTTGGAATGACAAAGTTAGATGTGATCCTTCATTCGGGGCAGGACTTTATGATCTTGCTCTCAAATTGCTTAGCACTTCTCCATTTGTGGATACACTTGAGACAGTAGGTGTGGTTGCAGTTGGACAGGATCCCAAAGCGGCGCTCACTGGGGTTGGCTTTCTCATAGACCACCTCCATGCAGATCCCACATACCATGTCCTTGCTGCGCTGCACAGCAAAAGAGAGCTCCATGTCCTTCTCATGGGCCTCAATGCAAGATTTTATGTGTTGTGACCTCTGGGCAGCATCCATTGGGTGCAGGACCTGTAGGCCACACATGTCACAGGAGTCTCCGTGGAGATACACACAGTTTTCCCCATAGTGACACTCTCCCACTGCAGCATAGGGGCAAAGCTGCTTCTTTGTCACCACTGCAGTTGGCTCCTTCTCCGATTCTTCCATGGTCACTGAGCCCTGCAGGGGTACTTCAGTGCAGGAAGGGGCAGTACGGCCACAGTAAGGCTGCCCGGGTACAAACTCAATGGCACTCACCCAGTCCTCTGAACCTGCTCCTACAGCTGCAAAGTTTGGGTTTCTTGACTCAGCTTCGCCTGGATTCATTTCAGCAAGTGATTCAACTCCCGAAGAGAGACTTGAGGAAGCAGCAAGGGATGGTTTTGCACTCAGGTCTGTTGCAGTCACTTCCTCCTGTTTCAGTGGCTTGCTGTGTTCGTATCTTTAATTCCAGAACCCAGGAGACAGAGACAGGCAGATCTCGGTGAGTTTGAGGCCAGCCTGTTCTACAGAGCTAGTTCCAGGACAGCTAGGGCTGTTACAGAAAAAATCCTGCAGCGGTCTCCGTACACACAGCACCCTCGTTGAAAATACTTGCATACTGCACCGTATGGGCTGTCGGAAAGGTCATGCGAGTATCGACAGTTATCTCCTTGCTTACAAACCCCATGCATAAAATATCTGCAGGTCACCTGTTTCGTCCAGCCGCCGCTGCTGCCGGCGCTGCCACTGCCCCCTCCACCCGTCCCCCGGGGACAGGGCAGCGACTGTGGGGATAGGGGTGAGGGAAGCCGCTGCCCCTGCGGCTGGCGCTCCTGCTCCTGATGTTGTGGCTGTTGTTCCGGGAGCCGCAGCCTCCGCCATTACTGTTTATCCCACACCTCTCTTTCTCCTTTTTTACAGCAGCATGGTGGAGGCGACTGGTGTCAGATGAACCCGGATTCCAGACGACCGAAGGAAGTTGCACCATTGCCTCCTCCAAGCCGAAAGTCGAAAGGCGAGGCCTTATCTCAAAGCATCAAAAGAGAGGAGGAAGAACTACTAACATAGTCAAGACCACGAATATCCTCAGAATAAATAAGACCCAAAACAGAGAACCACCATCATAACTCCCACTGCTAAGCCCCTGAGACATGGTCATATCATTTAGGAGGCACAGTGACAAGGGCCGACAGTATTTTTAGGGGCCCTCAAAATGTTCTATTATCTTTAATGTCAAAAGTTTTAAAAATAAAACTGATAAAAATGAATATGTAATAATGACTCGACCCTGAATTATATTTGTCTAGTGCAACCATAAACTGTGATTTACAGTTTACAGAATAAGCAGCCATTAAAAGCAAAATGCTTATGGGAAGGCCCAGGAAAGTCACCTGTGGCTTTGTCCTTAGAAGACAAACAGAGAGAGTGGGGCCAGTTACTTGGGATCCAAGGCAGACACAGAACCTGCACGGAAGGATGGGTCTAGGTGGCTGGCACTACCGGACACAAGCGAGCAGGGCCCACGGCGCCTCTAGGTGCTGACAGTTCTGTGTGCTACTTTCTTCTTTTTCCCTGCTCATATCTACTTCACTTTCAAATATCTCTGGCAAATTGTGATTTTACTACATGTGAGCTCAACATGCACCTTTTCCATTACAGCAAATAATGCTCCAGGCCTTTCAAAGTCCCTGCAATTCAGTAGTGTATGAATAACTCTTTCTGTGGTAGTCTAGACAAAATCGAGAAACACAGGCAGAGGGATAAAATGAGGGGTGGGAAATCAAACTGGACAAGCAACATCCACCTGACAAATGCTGATTGACAGGCTTGTCCGCCTATTAGAAGACCCTGGGGCTGAGGGAGTAGGCGGTTCTCTACCTGACCTGCTGCTAAGAGGAGTGCCTGCCCTGGGAAAGAATCCTGCTGGTTCAACGTGCCTGCACAACCAGCCTGGGACAGTGAGACCACTCCGTTTTCTTCCAGGGCAAGGACAGTATGAAAATGGAAGCTCAGAAGGTGAAGTACTTGCTGAATGCCAAGCAGCCAGCGATTAGCAGAACAGGTACCTGCAGCCGTCTCTAGCTCCTTCTTTCCTTCCATCACATAAAGACTGCCAAGTGTAGGGTCCAAGAAATTAACAAGTAAGTTGTATAAAATCAGGTGTGTTGACTGCACTGTGGTTTACACTAATGGCTACTCTCATTATAACAGACTTGGCCCACGAAATGTAGAGTCTTGCTCTGAGATCCGAAACCCTAATATTCCGTACCGTCATGGAGACTTGGTCTAAAGGCAACATTCATAAAACGGACTGGAGAAAGGCTTTAACTATGCGGGTAATTTCAGCCCAAGAATCATGTGCCAGAGTTCTGCATGTGAACTAAAACTGTAAACTCAACGGGAATCCAACTGTCAGGTACGCAATGTCTCATTTCTTTCCCTGAGGACCTGCACAGACCGCCTGCTCACCCCAGAAAGGATCCCCACACACATGAAACCATGCTATTCAACTCCAGTTTGGTGAACCAGTGAGTGTCCAGCAGCTACACCACCAAGAAGCCCCCTATTCCAAGACAAAGGAAGACTCAGAAATGACTAGAGTCCCGCCCCCACTCAACCTCCCACCTCCTAGAGACTCTAACTCTTCACCCACCCACCAAGCCACAAGCAGCAGAAACAGGATTAGATACAACAAGGTGAGGACAGAGGTGGGACATGACTGATGACCCCCCCCCCATGAGGGGATGTTAAAGAGCTTGATCATTGTGAGGGTTTCCTAAGGTAACTGCAGCAGTGGATTTCCGGATGACAATGCTCATCCCATGCCCTGGTGGCACTTCTACAACACGTACCTTCTAAGAATGCATTCATCAAAGCACTGTTTCACGGGTGATAGTGCCCCTAGCTGATAGATCTCACTTTGTTTGTCAGATACGTCAAAGAAAGGACTTGGTGAGATAGCACCTCTCCAGGGGCACAGCCTAACAAAACAAGCGAACTGGGAAACTCTCCAGTGGAGAGGATGGAAGGGTAGGGAGCTGGGGATAGTAGTGTACTCATGGCTTCAAACACAGACAACCCTGCTTCAACCGCTTTCCTCTCCACCTGCATTTTCACCTCTTGGGTCTGCAGAACAGAACTGTCCCATTCCTTTACATATGTCCAAAGCCCCTCCACAATCTAGATGCAAATAAACAATTCAGGGTTCTGCTGACAGCAGTGTAACTCCCCAGAGTTTACATCAGGCACTTGGGTGGAAAGAGGTAATGAAACACTGTTCTTCTCCAGCGCTTCCCCGTCCCCCTTGAACGACATCGCTCCTCTTCCCCTTCACAATCCTACTTGCTGGGAGCATGGACACGGAGTACGATAAGGCGAGATGTGTAACAAAGAGGATGTTCAGACGCAAAATGGAAAAGACATCCAAAGTCTCTCCCCAAAATGCCTTCCCCCTGGCACCGCTCGGCCGCTCCCCAGAGAGACACCCCAGCTCTCTATCTGGCCCTCACTGCCATTTCTCTTTCTTGTCTCTGACCCCACAGAACTGTGGCCCAAGCTCTGCTCTGATGGCTCCCCATGTGGCTCGGCCCCATCAGTGCAGCCTTGCTGTGTTCCATCTCCAACAGTGCCACTCCGGGCTACTGACGGGGTCACCGCCCTCCTGGAAGCTTGAAGTCAACATAAACTCTTTGTCCCAAAGCCTTTGCCGTCCTTCCGTGAGCCTGTCTTCTCTGCCTTCTGTGACTCACGGCCAAAGGATAAAGCATGGATGAGATGACATCAAACGGGGATTTAACTACCTGCTGCCATTTCCGAAAAGTGAAAGGAAATGGATTTGGCAATCACTTCAATGACCTTGACATCTATTCTGGGAAAGATGTCAAGAGCACATTTAAAAAGATGAAAAGGTTTAATTGTGAACGTGTTTCCACCTAGCCCCTCCCTTCCACAGCTTCCTTCGTGCTTGTCATCGTCCGTTAACGCACACATACACAGGCACACACACTCTTCATGGTTTGTGGAAGCGAGATTCTGCAATCTTGAGAGCTCTACCTCCTCTTTGGAAAGATTGCACCACAGCCGCACCACAATTTATCCAACAATTTCACAGGCAGGCACTCGCTGTATTTCCCTTTTTCCGGTGTTTGTTGCTTTTCTGCCACCACAGAAATGAGCTGGCAAAAACCTTCCACTGTGTATCTTGGTGTGTTCACGGTCTTTAAAGCAGGATGCCAGGGCTGGGACTGGGTGCTGGGATGCCGTCAGAAGGACTACATCTATTCACACGGCCACCGCAGCCCTACGGTTCCAAGGTAGGTTTCATAAAAGATCAAATGGATGCCCACATGAGTGTATACAGATTATCCATGAGAAGATACACAACAACGAATGAGGGTCCGTCCTGGGCTCTAAAGGGGGGGAAGGGGTGTCTGCCGCTCATCACACACCCGTCTCTGTCCGCACATTATGCATCACTCAGCAAAAACACCAAATTCTCCTTCTAGTGCCTATCGGGAGAAAATGAAAGTGCTGACTACACGGATTGTCTTTCGTCAAGTCAATAAGCTCAGAATTTAGCTTAAACTCCTAAATCTGTTTTGCGTACCAACATCACGAACAACTCTGTGGAAACACACGGTCAGGTTCTGCCAGGTGCTCAGAGTCCAATGAAGAAACAAACTTGCAGTGTGCCAGGCAGGCAGGTGTGGCACAGGATGAGTGCCAGGTGGCAGGTGTGGTGCTGGGGGAGTGACACCTCCAGGCTCCGGTGGCTGGCACTTGGTAAGCAGGCGAGGCTCCAGCCAGTCTCTTAGGGGCTGGACTCTTGGAAGGAGAGGTTAAAGGTGACTCTTTTTTTTTTCCTTCCTTTTTTAAAATATTTTTTAATTTTTCAAGGTTTCTAAAATTAACATTGAAATAATTTCCATAATTGGAGCAAACAAACAAAAGCAAACGCCCTCCTTTGAAAACACCAACCCCCGTGAATGTTGCTTAGCAGCTAACGCCCTAATTAAAACTCTGGCTATTTTCTCAGTCTTCAATGAATGTTCAGAGATCTTTTCAAGGAGATGGAGTGAGATTTTTAGAGGAATTCAGGCTGTTCGGCATATATAAAAGCAGCCACAAGAAGTAATGGAAGAATGCGACAGAATAGCAGAGAGCAGCTTTCCACCCTGTCCTTGCCCTTCCCCCACCCCCGCCTCACCCCTGCCCCACCCCCCCCCACCCCCACCCCCGCCTCACCCCCAGTTCACCCCCAGCTCTCTTGCTGAGCCTTCAAAAGGCTCTTCAGCTTACCTAGTTCTATACCCTGGATATGAAGAACTAGCAAAGACTCCAGCATGAATAAACTGTGGCGGGGGAGGGGGGGCGGCTTATGCTCACTGGGGACGTGTCCTTGTGGAAAACAGAAGAGTCTAGCTCCTGCTCTTCCTCTTTTTCTCCTCATCATGAGGAGAGACATGAGTTCTGTCACAATCCTTGCTTGCTACAGGCCCAAAGACTACAGGATCAACTAGCTAGGGACTGCACCTCTGAAACTGTGAGCTGAAATGAACCTTTTCTCTTCGTAAGTTATCTGAAGTATGTTACAGCAGCAGAACACTAATGCACAAACTTTCAGGAAATGTATAAAATCTCGACATGTCACTCACATCTGTACTGTGATAAAACTGTGACTCCCAACAGTTGCTTGGCTTCTGGCTCCCCTAAAAGGCTTCCTGCTGGTTTCTGTAGTTACTAGGCACCTAGCATTCCCAGGCTAAGTCATTTTTCTTTCTTCAGGTGTTTCTTTTGCATAAAATTCAGGGAAAATACACTACAGATTGCATCAGGTAATAAACAAATTAAGTTCAGACCTACAATAAGTCCAGAATGCACTATCTGTTATGTGT